TAAGGATATAAGTATTCTTAACAGTTTGGTACGGACCACCCTGGAGATTCAACCATTTTCACTCATCAAATTTATCAATTAAATTGCGCGAGAAAAATTTGAAAAATACCATGAATATTCAGCGTCATTCAAACTACATTTTGCACGGAATTATTATTTGTTCAAACATTTATTGTTTATAAATAAATAATTAAAATCGTTCAACCTTATTTTTTAGGCATGAAATCGATTTCTGGTAAAATTCTGACTAGAAAAAAATTTGTTACGATTCCGAATACATGATTTTTATCATGGGAAATTGATTGTTTATAAATTATGTACAGAAAATGCTCGTAATTTTGAAAAATAGCAATTTTTAAATCATTTCAATCGCTTCAACATCGAGATTCGAATTCAGACCTGCAAAGTTTGAATAATAAAATCATCTTAAAATGTCCGGAAACTCAGGGTCAAATGGGGCTCAAATGAAAGCTCTCAATTACAAATCAAGAAAAGCATTTCTCTAAAGAAAAAATGGTCAAACTACTTCAATATCCATAAATCGCATTCAGTATCAATGACATTTCAATTTTTCTCCAACAGCGTAAGCCCACAGTCCGAGTTACTCATAAAAAAATAATCTCCCAACAATTGCAGCCCTCCCGCGACAGATTTAATTCCGCATTCTCAACCGAGTCTAATCAATTCATTAGCCTTCATGAACCTCATTAAAACTGTCGACCTCGACCTAACAAAGTTAAATCGTTCCATCGCAGATCCTTCAGTCCTGTCGCGAGCGGGGCATAAGTGCGAGGTCGAAGTCTCCTACTCTTCGCGAACGACCACGATATCACTAGCGCCTATAAATACCCCGGAAATTCAAGCGTCTGGTGACGTACCGGCGCCCCATGTGACTTGGCAAAAAACTCGTAAATATCCTAAAATTAAATACCGCGAGAGTTCAACGCTACCAAAACCGCGTAAATTGCATTAATTTCTATGAACGAACCTTGATCTTGCTGAACATTTTGAATAGTCCCGTGAGGACGATGAATCCGGTCTCGTGTCTGTGGAAAAAGGGCGCGTGTGCCGACTGACTCCAACTCCAGGCTACAACGGCCTCTCCACCCGATGTGGACACATTTTTTCCCCCCCACCATTTTTGAGAGTGGATGGTGCTGGTGTGAGTTTGTCGTAAAGTACTATGTGGTTTTAATAAAAATTCACATATGGGCGAGAGGCGCTCATTGGCCGGTGAGAAGGTGTGCCGATGCTACGAGCAGTCCCATTGGCTCATTCTGGTGTCGAGCCTCCGTGCACGTACACACTCACCGGACGGTGCAGGTAGTGACGCTAATAATAAACCCGCGACACGTTTGCACGCATTGCTGACTTTTTTTCAACGTTTTTGCGTGCGAGGTAAACTTTTTTTTGTTGAATCCCCACTATTTTCTTGGATTCAGTTTCCCGGAAGGTCAATTCTTCTCTGAGCGTCCACCAAATACTTCCATTATCAATTACTTTATTACATTTTATTATTTTAATCCTGCCAACGCCGAAAACCCAACGAATCGTTTTATTATCCTTTTCACTAAAAATCCTTCGAACGCGCTCAATTATTTTCTCGGTACCTTCGCGTCCCTAGTCCGGGACTTTCCCAATACCTTAATGATAAACTCGCGAGACGTTTGCACACATTGCCGGATTTTTTTCAACGTTTTTGCGTGCGGGGTGAACATTTTTTTGTTGAATCCCCACTATTTTCTTGGATTCAGTTTCTCGGGAGTTCAATTCTTCTCTGAGCATCCACCAAATACTTCCATTACCAATTACTTTATTACATTTTATTATTTTAATCCTGCCAACGCCGAAAACCCAACGAATCGTTTTATTATCCTTTTCCCTAAAAATCCTTCGAACGCGCGCAATTACTTTCTTTTTACCTTCGCGTACTTCGCGTCCCTAGTCTGGGACTTTCCCAATACCTTAATGATAAACTCGCGAGACGTTTGCACACATTGCCGAATTTTTTTTTAACGTTATCGCGTGCGGAGTGTACGTGCTCTGTGATCTTGGATTTTGTGTAATGCGAATTTTGGCGATACTTTTATTCGCAATGTTCTCGTCTCCAAAAAAAATTTCTTATACCTTCATTTTATCATTTTTTTCAATGTCAAATCATCTTCTCAAACTATCATGAATAAAATCTGCTGAGATTATTCTAAATAACCACTCGTTAGAGAGATTAATGAACAACTAACGAACCCGACAAACAAATTGAAAAATTAACGACAGATTTAATTTTATTAGGGTAATAACGTTTTGTTGGAGGGGTGACCTTGAGGGGTCTTTACCGCATAGATTTTTTCATAAAAGCCCGTTGGTGTCATGTGCCAGTCTCGTTTGCGGTCGTTCAAGGTCATGACGCGTAGAAATTGGAGTATTGTAATGGATAGAAGAGGGAAGTTCGATTGCGGAGCAGATGTTTCTGAGATATTGAACAGTTTTGTTGAGTAGTTTAGAGTTTATTTGAGTGGGAAAATCGATTTTATGCAATTGATCCGACAGGGAGAGCAGGGGAAAGTGTTCAGTCAAGAGGTCGTCATGGGTTAATAAATTTTATTCACATTTTTTGGGTGATTTCTGCGAATTATGTCAACTTTCGAATCTAATCTCGAAGTAATGTACGCAGGGGTGGAGTAATAATAAATAAACTTCAGGGGTCAGTTCCCTGGGGGAATTAAAAAGGGAGTGGAATAGATTACATTGCATTCCTATAGGAATACATTTCCTGTTTTAAAACCGCAGAAACTGCAGTTTTTGCAAATTCTTGGCGAGGATTATTTGTATTGTATTTAATTTTGCATTTAAGGATGTTTAGACATTTCCAGCAAATCTTATTTTTTCATGCTCAAGGAAAATTCTATAATTTTTTGGCCGATAGCAGAACACATGAAACTAACTTCTTTGATGTTGAACAAATTAATCGCAATAGTCTCGCTAGAAATAAATAAACTAATTTTTCCTTATACAAAAAATTATACGAACAATTCTTTTCTGAATACCACTCGAGCTTAAATGGCCCAGCGGAGGAAATGTATTAATGATAATTGGAGCGGTTGGGATTTATCTAATTTTGAAAATACTATAAACTTTCAACTTTCCTCTGAATTTTCCGGATTTTCCGCATTTTCACGGAATAATTGAACTAAAAAATCAAGTATTTTATTGATTTTCAGATCATTCGAGCAGAAAATCAATGGAATATTGGATTTCCCAAGGATACGATTTCCTGAAATTTCAGTGGAAATTGAACATGATAACAATTTCCGGGATTTGACACGGAAAATTCAGGCGAAAATTTTTAATGATGTATGTCGCAATATTTGAATGCCCCAGTATGAGGCTGCCTGCTCTGGAAACTCATCACACCCACCCGCGAACAATAATCTCACGAGATAAATCTGGTGAGAAACGGGTATCGCGTGTTGAGGTCCAACGAGGGCAACTACTCGAGAATTATTTAAACTATTCATGACTCTAATAGCCACCTCTCGACATCACCTTTTCATAAGTAATGCGTCAAGTGCGATGTGCGCATGTGACTGGACCATTGTCAACGCAGTCATCGCCATTTGCATGTCAATTGCAGTGGGGGAAGAGCCTTTTGTTCTTCCGTTGATATTTGATACGAAAAAACGAAGAGGCGAAACTCAATGTCAAGTGGAACGGTTTCAACGGGAATACCTAATCGGTAGCTGCTTGGAGTTTATCGGCTGATAAACCTTATCCGAAATTTAAAGTTCTAAAAAATATCAGCGACATGATAAAACTATTTGCCGAAAATTTTATCGATTAATAGATATCGGCGAAATGATAAAATGATTTTCTGAGTGAGATGAATTCTGCGGTCGTTAAACATTGAGGAATAACATTAAATTGGATACTCGAGTGTTTTTTCTCTCAATAAAAAAATGTAATTGATAGTGATTAGATTTGTGTTGAGCCATCAGATGTCTAGATTTTTTTCAATTAAAGCAATTGAAGAAGCATTTCTGTTCGCGTTTTTCACAAAATTTTATCAACCACAAAAAAATTGTTTTTAATATTATCACCCGAAATTTTTCACTACTGACATAAATAGATAATTAACAAGACCGAGAGTTATGAAATACAAACAATATTTATCTTTTCGCCACAGAGCATGACCTCTGCACACTTTCGTTGTACTTTTATCAGAAAGTTTATGAAAGTGTTTACGTACCGCTCACAGTCTCATCCAAGATATGGGGATGCAATCATTGATAATATTGGTAAATTTTTAAAATCTGTCATCAACCAATTGAAATACTCAGCCCCAAGGATTTCATAAATTGAATAAAAGGAAAATTGGCATGACGTCCGAAAAAAATTACGTTTCAGCGCTCCAATTTTCCCATCAATTTCCATTCCGCCTTCCCCGAGGCCCGTCTCTTGCGGGAGTCTAACTCAGGAGAACCCATTGTCTCTGCCGAGAGCCGACCTTTGCCCTCAGCCGTCGCATTTTAGAAGACGACAACAATTCCCTCCGCAATAGAGTATAAATACTCTAACATTAACAAAGCTCCAAAGAAGGCAGATCAATACAGAATAAATTACCTGAGGCCCTGCGATACCCATCTTCCCAGTCTCCGACAGAAAATGAAAATAAACCCGCGAAACTTTAGAAACTCTCTTTAAAAATATTTAATTCCTCTGAAGAAATTATTTAAAAAATAGTCTCAACAGAAATAAAATAACATTCAAACTGATCCTCTTGTTACCGTCACAATCCGCCGAGTGTCGAAGACCCGAACTGGCCAGTGAGAAGTACCTAATTGCTAATTTTTTATTGAAGAGTCTTGACCCATTTAATTTTTGGATTTGAAGTTTTATTCGGAGTTTATTTTGGAGAAAGCATTCTCCAGCCCTTTGCCCTCGGACATTGCATTTCACAAACCGACAATTCCCCCGCAGAAGAGTATAAATACAGAATAAATTACCTGAGGCACTGCAATACCCATCTTCCCAGTCTCCGACAGCACAAAACTCCTCCGAAATGTCTCAACTCCCTCAAAAGAACAATTCACTCTTTGCTTTCCCGTTTATCCGCGTATTTTCGCAACAAACCGATGCCTCCGACAACTCGTCCCAAAGACCGCCGGTCACTCCGATCAATTCCAACTATTTCCCTCAAACGTACCTCAAACTCTCCGGAAAATGAAAATAAACCCGCGAAACTTTAGAAACTCTCTTTAAAAATATTTAATTTCTCTGAAAAAATTATTTAAAAAATAGTCTCAACAGAAATAAAATAACATTCAAACTGATCCTCTTGTTACCGTCACAATCCGCCGAGTGTCGAAGACCCGAACTGGCAAGTGAGAGGTACCACTGGAAATAAGTCACAACTATCCCCTCTATCCCCCAAAACCGCCTTCAGTTACTTCCCCTCTCTGTACATCTCTCTGTAAACTGGCCACCTCCCCTCACCCATTCAACTCACTTGTCAATAATCAAAACTGTCACGACTATCCAATTTTTCAATTTAGTCTATTGAACCTGAGTAGTTGAAAACTAGCGAGCGACTCAACTGAGATGACCTATGGACACTAGATATGGTAATTTCGCGAGTCGAGGCGATTCGAAAGAACGAAAGTGAATGGAGATAATTGAATCGAGGGGTAAAAATAACGTCTCTTTTTAAGGAGTTGGGCACGAGAGTTTCGACTTTAGACTGCCAGGCTCCAGTCTGCGCTCGGTTTTTTATTTAATTTGCGCCGAGTGGATGGGAATTTAAAGCTCAGTGGGGCCTTTTGTTCGGGGGTGGACGTTGTTGGGAAACAATGAAGAACGGGGAAGTTGATGGGAGGTGTCGTGATGTCTTCTGGGAGATGTCAGGTGGTTAACGGTCATTAGAATCAGCTGGGTAACAAGTGCGCCAGTGTGCTCGCGGTGGTCTAATTAGAGGTGATTATCGTGTGGTAATGAGAGGCAGCAGGGGCTCGAACGCTACGATAATTTTTGCTCCCGAATGGAAGCCTTGTCATCGCTCAAATTTGAGTTTCCAGGAGGAGAAAAAAGAGAAAAGTCGGAAAAAATTATCGAATGAGTCCAGTAATCGCGGAGCGAACTCGATTTTTACTACTTCTTCGCACTATGTCGGGGAAAATGTGCGAGACGAATGATAAAGTAAATTTTTCCCCGGTGGGCCGGTAATCAAGCAACCCCTGTGATAGTTTAATTAATTCAGTAGCGAAGTGGTAAGACGGTTTAAGTCGACTTATCTCGCAGTTGTGGGTTTTTGAGGAATATTTCCGAATCTATGGGAGATAGCGAAATTTTCGTAATTGCGTTTGTTGTAGCTCTCAGTCGGCTCTACAAAAAAGGTTCTGACAAAAATTGTGCTATCTCCCTTGGATTTCGAGGTATTCATTGAAAACTCGCCAATAGTCAAAATTGACTTGAACCGGTTTACCACTTGGCTACTGAATTATTATTTGACAGTTTAAACAACATCCGATGTTACGAACGAATCGTAAAGTATCCTTTTACCGAACGAATAAATACGCAAAAGTTTGTTGACATTTCAATTGATTTCAATTGACGATAGTACTATGACGAAAAAAAAATAGAAGAAGAGAATACTGAAATAAAAATAAAAAAATGAAATCCATTCGAGAGCAAATTGCTAATTTATTAGCAACAATAACTGTGCTCATTTATAAAGAAAATGCAATTGGTCCATTTGTTTAAAAATTATTCCATTTGTTTCTGGAGAAAATTCGAATGGGAAATTCGTTCTTGGGAAATTGCGAAGAGATTTGCTTCTGGATTTTCTCGCTTTGGAGAGGTGCATGAATGGCAGGAGAATAATTTTTTTTCTGTGAAAAGGCGAGAGAATCTGGAGCTACTGCGTCACGAGGTTAAAAAAATTCACGCCTACGACGGATTCTCGAGTATTTTAAACGAGACACTGTTTATGTTTGGAAGGAGAGAACAGGACTCGGGGGGAGTGCCATGTGGCTGGTGGACGTGCGAACCTCACCTTCGGGCTTGGATTGTTACGATTGCAAAATTTTCCATAATAAATGATTCATTGGGATGAACGACGATTTATTCGATTTGAAGATTTATTTGGCAATTTTTTTAATTGCACGTTGATGATTTGCAATTGTCGAACAGTTCGTGCTGATTCTTTGAGGAGTGCCCTGATCTCGAGACGAACTATTTTCGGCAGTTTCTATTCACACGCTCCACGGTAACTTTGACAAACTAGACACACTGAATCAATTGATAAGTGATATGGAGATTGGTAGACTAGTAAACAATTTTCCCGAATACGAATATCAGTATAGATTAACGCAAATAAAAAATGAAATCAATAATTGACTAAACGCAAATGAAAGGTGAAATGAATAGTTTTTTACATTTTATGTGAACGTTTTCTTAACGATATTCATATTTGTCTAATGGGGTCCGAGTGCAGGAGTGGGTGCAGAAATATAGTGCAAATCCCGTATTCTTCATAGATAATGCCCATAATATCAGAAAAACTTCACTAGGTAGTGAATCAAACGCACGATGAAAATTGAATAATTCATCGAATTCGTTATAGAGTTATAATTGTCCGATAAACGGATTTAACTCAACCATAAATTTGTAAAAATTTCCGATACATATACCAATGGTTATGTAAATATGCTAATCACACGTGAGCTCTAAGTACGTGATGAGTCGATACGTGAGGATTAGAAAATGTTGCGTCACGAGCTAATTTCTACACGTTCCTGACACTTCCGCCTGCACTAGTTTCGATTTTTCAATTGTTCTTTTTTTCTCTTCAAGTGTGTTTTGCAACTTTTCCTTTTCGCGGATTGAGAACTTGTGGGGGGAGGAGGCCGAACTGGAGTTACATAGCGGTGAATGTTTAGTCAAGGAGAAACGTCTGGTGTATCGAGGGATATTGTCGTGTCATTAAGCAACTTTAATGCGAGACATTTTTACAGAGTGAAGGAATTCACTTGGAAGAAACATAAAAATAAATAGTACGTAATAGTAGTAATGAGAATTAAGGGGAGACTACTGAGTTTTAAAAGTCGCGGACTATTGAAATGAGATTTATTATATTGAAGACCGATTATACATGATTAAAAACTAATAATTAGTGCAAAAAAAAATTGTTTATTGTTCGCATAGTATAAAAAAAATTGTCCTCAAAAGTTGGGTTAAAATGATTCATTTTTTCCAGCCCCGTTCTCTACAAACAGTCATAAACGAGGTGTTCACTCAAAGATGTGAAGAGGACAGATTTTTTATTAACATTAAACATATTTAATTATGTAATTTAATGGCCGTCGGTCATTGAGCAATAGAATCGTACTCAAGATAAAACTAAGTCAATCGGTTCGACAAAATGATCTAGGCATTCCAACCCACGATTACGACGATTAATCTGTTTACCTGGAACAGATCAATGATAAGCAATGAAGGATAATAATACCTCTTTCGTCTGTTTTCAGAAATAGAAGGAAAGAGAGAACAATGATACCGTTCAATAACACCGGCGATTGCCACGTGTACGTAAATGTGAGTCTTCTCACTTCCAGAGAAATTATTCATTTGAATTCAGCAGCGAAGTGATCGGTACAAGTCAATTTTGACTATTGGCCCGTTTTCAGTGAATATCTCGGAATCTAAGAGAGATAGCAAAATGTTTGTTATAACCTTTTTCGTAGAGCCGATTGAGAGCTACAAAAAATGTAATTACGAAAATTTCGCTATCTCCATTAGATTCGGAAATATTCCTCAAAAACTCAATTGGGAGATAAGTCGACTTAAACCGTTTTACCACTTCGCTACTGAATTAAATATTCAAACTTGAAGAATGAGTGAAACAGGAATTTTTCTAAAAAGTGCATTTTAACATGCTCTTATGGGAATTCGGAAAAAAAAATTAAAAATAGAGAAAAAGTCGCCATTTTCCAGAAATTTCGCACTTGGGTGGAGCTCTCAGGGAGGAACATGAAAAAAAAAATCCAAGCAGTCTAGGAGAATTGTTTAGAAGGGATAATTAAAAAACTCATGAAAAATAGGAGTTTTGCGTGCGCAACTTGGAATAGCGACAACGTCGAGGTTAAAAATCGTGGAGGGGTAGGCGCGGCAAATACGAATGGAGTTGTGATGATACATTTCGCTATGGGAAGGAACATAACAGCTGAGTGAATCAGTGCTGCCGACTTGTACCTCGAAAGGCACGACGTCGTCATTTTTTCTATCCATATTAATTATTTTCCAATTATCCAAAACACAAGCTAGAAAAATAAAAGAAGGCTTGAAAAATGTGGGAAAAATAGGAAAGTTATTAAAAAAGTATTTCGAGCACAGAAATGGTCGAAATAGATTGAAAAGTTGTAATTGAAATATCGTTTTTTTGTTTGGCGATTGGTTTTCTGCGAGAGAACAATAGATTTCCCTTCGTCTCCCCTCCTACATGTCTACCCCGCCATAAAAACCTAATTTAAATGCATAATTTTTCTGGGGATTATCGCCATGAATAAGAATTCCAGCGATGAGAGGAAAATCTGACTCTGATTACTGGAAAATCGATCGGGAAATTTTCGAAAATTGTTTGCAGCTGACCTCCAATCGTAAGATGTGCAATTATCGGATTAAACGACCCGGCCACTTCCTCAATGATAACCGTTCACGGAAATCATTCGCATCAGCACTGAGTTCAGTCTAATTGAAACAGAAAAATTATCCAGTTAAAATAGTACTTACGGCATCCTTATGAGCGCTTGTCTGCTTGAAACAAAAAGAGTAAATAATGGATAAAAAAATTTAGTCAAAAGTGACATTATGTAAGTGGAATTGGATGGACTCAAGGACTGAATGATGATTGATCGTGACGCGTAATACGGTAACAAGGTAATGTGCCAGTACAGTGGACTCGAACTGAAATGAGACGATCGGCTGAGTGCCAGAGTTTATTGTTTAATTTTTTATTTCAGTGATGAAGCGGTGATGCGGAAACGAATGATACAGGTCGATTTTTCGGTTCATTAAAGTGAAATTATCTCGCGAACGAGTGAGTTTTGGAGAAAATGTCAGAAAATATTTTTTGTTAGAAATTTTACAAGCAACAAAAATGGTTCAATAACATTTTCTCGTAGAATAACTCGTTCGGGAGATAATTGCAAAAATAGCGGGAGTGGAATTTCTTGTTTTAGCGGTGAAGTCGAAAAAGAAAATTTTCCAGATTCTCTTGAATATAAAATTATCACGATAAAGTCATGCGCTGAGAGAATTGTTTAATGATAATCTCTGGTGGAATTTCTTGTTTTAACGATAATTACTTGACTATGAACAGTAAATTTTTTTATTTGAGTGTGAAAAATTTGATTCTTTGTCGAATCAACGAAATTTCAAACACAAAATGAATTTTTTTCTCTATACAAAATTTAAAGGATCAACTTCCCAATTACTCAGAAACGTCTAATTTAAATGATCACTCCTGACCTTGATACATTTACATTTACCGGATATAGTTTTTTGTTAATGATTGCTAATGAACAATGATGCATGAAAGTACCTTAGTGGAAGGTGCCAATGCCGTCGGCGTTGACGGTTGCTCCTGAACTTCCTCTTTGGACTATTAAAAAGACATTGAATTGTTAGCGACACACTCCAACGCAATTTTTCTTTCATCTGTCATGCTGATTA